GAAAGACCTTGGGCAGCTACATATTTTTCCATTAAGCCCATTTATATACAGGAAAGGGCAATCTCTCACCTCTCGTTGTTGCTCCTGATTGTTTTCAGGGTACGCCATCAATACGGTAACTAAGTAATGTCACATATATTGCAAATGCACGAATAAAACTTAGTGAAACTCTACAGGTTTTGACGATGTATCATAACGGCGAAATGGCTGCAATTCGTTAGATTTGGTTGATCCAGCAATATTTGCTTTTCGTAGAAGCTTTAGGTACCTATCTACAACGACACGTGACATGTCATACTTTTACGAGCGGAGAGCTGTTCAACGTGGGGAAGCTAAACGCCCATAACACCTACGTGCTCCTTTTCAGGATTCATGAAATTGATGAGGAGGTAAAGGTCCAGGTCGCATCTCGTGACCTCTCCTCTCCTGTGATGATGTGGGCTGAAACCTGTGTGTCTAAAAACGGCTCATTTGGTGGGAAAGACGTCAGGATACGTTATTAGGTTTATATAAAGAGTGTAGTGAGGATACACTGTGTACTGTTGTGGGTAAAAGGCTGTTTGAACTCTTTAACACGAATGAGCTATGGGTCGCAAATGAGAAATGGCCCAAGATTAGTGTTCAGCTCCAATAACTCCTGAATTTCTCCTCCACTGTCATGGAAAGACAGCTCCGCCATATGTCAGCCTAGTGGATCCATGTTAGGCCTATGTCAGGCCTCGCGAATCGAGCGATTCGTTAGCGTCCGCGGTTGCGACGCGGCCAGCTTAAAGCAAAGTCTGACATCGGCCTTAGGAAGTGAAACTTTTCATTTAAAATGCACTACGAGAAGGAATCTGAAGATCCTAATGAACAAAACCTAAGCGGAGATTCTCTAAGAAATTCCGCATACCGCCATTAAACGTCTGGAAGATTCGTGCCGGCTATTCTTACTAGAGGCATTCATATCGAACGACTTTACAGCTTACCTGTTATTAGACACATCGCTAATATGTGTAGAGGTTAACTGTGTTTTACTAAGGATTACAGCTTTTACGACATAAATGCTTTGTTATCATATTTATGGTGCACTCTTCAGTTTTTTGGCACTTATATACCCTATGACTTCCTAAATGTCTTATCTGACAGGTTTCCTTTTGGTTCTTGTTAGCATTCTTTTCAAAGTTTACTACCAACATGTGCAATTTTGTGTAGTCGGAAAAGGCCGTCTATTTGCATTTAGAATGACTGCTGCAAAGCATTCATCTCTTCTTTTGCTAGAGCCATGAATTTTTAATGTTATTAAGCCTCGAACTATGTGCACAAAATTATCCTGTGATCAAATAGCATCGGTTGAAGGCCTGTACTGTGTGCTCCGTCTGTTCGCAGGAGACTCCTGAGTGAGGTTGGAGGAATAATTTTATGAATAATAGTCACATGAGATTTTAATGTCTGAGAATTAGAAAAGGAGGAGTTAAATCGGCCAGTGCTCTCAGGTTGCTGTGTAAAGTGGTGAGGGTGTTTTAACTTTCAGGCATATCCGGTGAAAACTTCTTACATTGAACCCTAACTTTGTCGGGGATTGAAATTATGCATTAGTTTCTCCACAAGACTTGTATTTTAATTTCAAGTGAAAACAATGTCCTTCAAAAGAGTCGTCCTCGTTTCTTCTTGCGAAATCAACGCAAACATTTGTTCAGTGGCTTCCATAGATTTGAGAGAAGGTTCAGTGTTTGGTGAGAGAGAAGGTTCAGTGTTTGGTGAGAGCGTTTTTATGACGTCCGTATGTGCTGTGGTATGTGCGATTTTCCACGTTGGAGCTGGGTATCAGAAAATTAATTGCTAGCATAATTTTCACGAGGGCAAGTGCATTTTCGTTTTTTTGCTATTGTAGCCCGTCCTTGTGATTCCTGAGTCCTAATTTACAATCCATGCACAGATGCGGAATATCTGACCAGTCTTTACTGATGTCGAGGGTTTCTCCCGAAGTCGGTCATTCGATTGCGATAGGTTCTAGATGGGATTTTCGCAGAGAACGTGGACATGCCGGGTCCTCTGTTATTACTGAATGGGTACGCCGAGTAGGCTAAAGACGCAGATACACTTTCAAAAGAAAAACGCTACAGAAGTGGTGACGCACTTGTTGCTGTCGCCTCGCTCTAGACTGGATAGTCCTTGTGCGAGCGTAAAACGAAGGACGAGTTTATGTAACGCGGTTGTTAAGAACCATGTCAAATCCGTCTCCAGTCGAAGTTGCATCGTAGGTATATCCTGCTGACAGCACTAACCGCTCAAATACACTGAAATGGGGCGGATTGGTTTGGTTCGACTGCTTTCGAAGTCCTTCTTAGCACATCAGGGACAGCGTCGGGACCAGCGCCACACCTCGCTTTCATTGGCAAGCCAGTGATCTGCCCCTTTTATGTGTGCGGCTATGTTTTTTCACTCGATGCGCTCCCACATTATACGAAGTTATACGATGGATCATTTCTAGGTCGCGGAAATTACTGGTAGAACTAGTTTTATGTATGGCCTAATAGGACCATTTTGTCATGGTAAAACTATTATCTGAATGGGAGGCATCCTTCTATGCCTCGCTCATTTATGGTTGCTTGAATGCATGCTGCTAATACAGCGACTGTTTTTGATGCCGCCATACCACGACCACTTTGGCCAGCAGAAATCCTCAAGCACAAATTTTTCCTCCGACTTGAAATTGTACACAGACGGCAGCATTGCGCGCATATAGTCAATTTGCTCGCGAGGACCGGGCTTCTTTTGTTCCAATTTATTTAGCATTTTTCCTATGAGAGAACTGTTCGTTTACATTACCTTATCTGAAAAGCAGTGCACAAGTCACTAGTAGTGTATTGAAGGGGTAATGAAGACTCTGAAAAAAAAAAGTAAAAAAAAAAGAGCCGAGCACACTCCACAACGGTGCTCCAGTCAATGTGTAGCATTATAATTCTAGTATGCTTTACTAGAGGTATTCTTTTCTTTCAAAGGCTTGCGGGAGACCTTCAACCTTTGTTTTTTTCACCGGGTATCGTGCCATAGGGTTAAGTATTTATAGTAGCTATAGTAAAGTGCGTCCTAAAATTATTAGTGATATGAAGAGTAATGTATGGGAGGGAAAACAACGTAAATCTGGAAAAAATGAACAATTTGGGACGCGCTACTGGCTATTATTTCTATTGCACGCGCACAATTCGGCACATCTGAAATTCATTGTAACATGGCCATTCTATTACTGCATGTATATATGCAAATCAGTCATTACCATCAGGTAAACTGGTTACCTAGGTGGACTATGGCCTTACAATAATTCACAAACCAGCCGTAGTCAACAAAGTCTGATTTCTCTCGGAGATGCCTGGCACTGAAGTATAGCTGCAATTTTTCCTGGTTTTTTCAGCTTGTTACATGACATCTGTTTATAATAGCGCTATATTATTGTAAGGAGCTTAGTGTCTCTCTGTGTATTCCAAGGTATCATCCCAATCGTCCTCCGGCAAAGCTGATTGACGGGGGCGGCTGTATGAGTCAGCGTGCCTTCGTGCTTTTTTGTTAATTGCGCTGTCGATTTTTAGTTCAGTTTCGTGTTTGTTTTTGTTTTCGGCGTGAGAAGCGAACGATCTCTACTATCTCCCTAATTTAGCTTCCACTCTCCCTTCTGACGTTGCATTGCAGCGGTTTTTAACTTCCAGAGCTTTTTTCCCTCGGATTGCGGGAATAGTACCCTACATCTTGTACATTTTTCTATATTAGTTGTTAATATACCACTGAAAGCCACATGAAGGTGAAATATGATCTCGATAGTTGGATGGTTAGCACTCTTCTCGGAAGGGTTTCGAAAGTGAGGTCCGCTTCTGAATCTTCGCTGACGCAGTGTTTTGCCTCAGCTGGATGTCTTCTTGATAACTTTCTTGTCTTTTAACTGCTGTAATAGCTACCTCTAAAGCCGTTTCCCCCAAATGTTTTCTGTAGTGAAGCGCGATCCTGTCTCTTTATACGGAAGCCTAAACACAGATAATGAAGACGATTGGACTCTGGTTCTGATGAAGACCAAGAATTCCACCTTCGCATTAAATACCGGGTCATAAGCTACACCCATGACTTGTGGGGAGGGAGTCGGGAAACAGTGAAGGTGACTTGCTATTTCTAGTAGCATATTTCCTGGTGATTAGTTTCATCAATGTTAGAAGGCATTTTTGTACGAAATTTTTCTCGCAATTCTCTGGTCTATCTACAGCATCTATGAGGATGTTGACTTTATGCTTACGTTTTTTGGATGTATCCCTACAGCGTTCGAAAACCTGTTTTGAAAGAAAATTGCCACGTTCTGCTTGATGCTCTGGGTTGATCATCGTCACCTTAGCCTCTCTTCATCAATAATTTGAGCAATTATTTCGTATTTCTGCAGAATGATGAACGAGCTGCATTGAAATTTCCATAGTCGTTGCAGTTTACTTGTCAAATTCCGCTTTCCACATTTCCTTTCAAAAGTTAAGCAATTGCTAGGCCGGAAATTGTTCTGCTGCATTCATGGTTGTAAACACTTTTGCAATTAGGATTTTGAAAGTACTTCCACCCATTTGTACTCATTTCTATGGAAAACGCGAACGCTGCAAATTATCAACAAAAAAACCAAAATGCTCGGCCCAATTGACAGTCCGTGCTAGTCTCCCGTACTAGCTCATACATTATCGAAGCCTTTGTTGCATACGCCCTTGCATTCATCATCATCGATTATTTTCACGCCGTTTCGTATGGTATGGTAACGATTTTCTGCTCGGGATCCGCTCTGAATCGATGACGTTTCAGTTCTTCTTCCTTTTCGTGTGTTGGACAAGCGAATTGGTTTCGAAAATGAGAAGATGAGTCATATGTTTGTGTCTGCGTCTGGCACTACTTGATTCGGTCTACACTGACTGCTTTCTCTGTATTCCTGAAAACGCGGCCGACGTCCCTTCGTCTCTTGACTCTCCTATACTACTCTTTTCAACCAGTTTTAATTAAAAATGGTTTCACAATCGAGCAGAACCACGCCGAACGAACTTCTCGAACCACAACCGTCTCAACAACCACGAAAAAAGTCGAAAAAGGCATCGAACTGGGTAGCACAGGCGCGCTCTCGTGCTACTGGTACCCTTCGGCGTACTCTATTTGGACAGAAGTCGAAGTCAGCACGAGCACGTGACGCAGAGAGTATCGCTGTTGAAGAAGATGATGACTACACCCAGACAAATTACGATACAGTAAAATCGTTGCCGGCCACTGGACACTATGGACGTAGCCGAGTGGGGCATCATCTGCATGTGGACGTTGAAGGTCATCTGGCCCTTGTTCAGCCCGCTGGGGCTGCCATGCCACCAGTGATTATTCTTAAGCTGCCGAGAAGACGTCAAAGCGCTCAACCAAGTCGTATATCACCAATAGCGCGTCCACCGCTATACGATCCGGTATTTGACTTCCAAGCATGGCACTCGGCACTTGATCAGCGTGAGTAGTGTGTGAAATTTATTCGATTAAATTTTCAGACGGCTATGTTCAACTCGTTCGACTCGATGACCATCGGTTCCGCTGCAGCGGACATAAATGCCGTATTTTTTGGTGGGGTTCGATTCAAATTGAGGATTTGGAAGCCCTAACAATCACTCTTTTATAAATGAAATTTTTCTTTTGACCAGTTGTTTTTTTTTCAGATTGTCAAGATGCGGTTTATTCGTTATTCATGAAAGCACATAAGTGTTACGATCTAATACCAACGTCTACGAAATTGGTTGTGTTCGATACGCAGTTGCCGGTTAGTTTTTTTTTTCACTTTTCCTTTCCTTTTTCTTCTGTTTTTCTCGGAGTCTTCCTTTCCGTTTGAGTTTTTTTTTTCGCCTGAAATGTCTCATGTTCAGGTAAGAAAAGCGTTCTTCGCTCTCGTATATAATGGAGTTCGTGCCGCACCTCTTTGGGACAGTGAAAAGCAGCGTTTTATTGGAATGTTAACTATCACAGATTTTATTAAGATCTTGATCAAGTAAGCCAGTTGCTCATTCTAATCTCATTTGAATGTTGAGTTGCAAGCTAAAAAATCTGAGGTTCAAATATTGACTCACTTATATCTTTCTGCTTCCTTTTCACACCCTTCGGTGATTCTTGGTTGTGACTTTCTTACTTTTTTTTTTTTTTTTCTCTCTCAATCTGTGTGGATATGCAGGAAGGGGTGCCGAGTTGGATGAAGTACAAAATTGCAATTACTACCTTGGTAAATCAATTAGGTCGTTGATTTTGGCTAATTTAGTGGATTTCTAACTTACGTTTGATGGATTAATCTTCTTTTTAAGTCCCTTTAGTTGCATCATAATGATTTGCGCCCGCTCGCTTCCATTTAGACACCTTCTCTAGCTCAGCAAGCTGTCCGTGTGCAGATCTAGCGTTGAGTTGTGTAGGATGCTATCGCCCGAGATTAGATTAGAAGAAGATGAATTAGACTAAGATATAAGAAGATGATTAATAAGACTTAGATTATGAAAATCTGTTAAAGTTCACGTTCACCAAGCTTATTACGGATGGAAAAGGCAAGGGACGCGCCCGCCCGCCCGGCCGCTTTTTTAAGCCCTCTTGCCTGTTCAGAGGCAGCGACCACGACAGTTTGATATACCTATTGCTTTGAGAATAGTGTTGCCAAGTGATGCGTGCGACAGTTAAGAGAATACACAAAAAATTGCCAAAACCTCGTGAACTGTGTTTCTCATTCTGACTGTCGCTCTTGCACGCTAGGCGAGATTATTGAAAAGCTGGTGCTTTGAAAAATCATTCTGAGGGAACATACTGTGAATCAAAGGAGCGAACAGCACAGTTACCATCTTCGCCACGACAGAAACGTCAACTGATAGGCGATTCTGCTTCAGAGGGCCTGGGCGATAGACCTTACCACCCTTATGATAGTCTGTTTCCTTCGCGGAGGCATCGCATCATTGTTCGGCCTCAACTCTCTTTCTACTGCAAATGAGCAAGTGAATTATTGTGACCGTTGCCTCCCAGAGCGGAAGTGGTGTAGTGACAAGTGGCGCGCTTACCACGCGAGCGGTCCGGGGATCAAATCCTGGGTCGTGAGTCGCCCGGGCCAACCAAGCCTTCCATCCCTCCGGGGTCGGTTAATTGGTACCAGACTTGTCTGGGAGGATAAAACACTGACTTGTACATCGGCTGGCCCCCGCAAGTCATTGTATAGGCCACATCGCATTCAAACGCCACTACGAATGTACAAATGGAAGTAGAATGCGTGCCGCATCCCAAAAAGGGATTGATCAACGGCAAATGCTTTATCCTTTATTGTCTTTCACCTTCATGATCAATCAGTCAGTATCAAACTCGTTTGCGAGGGTAGACAAAAACTATCTGAATATCTATTGGCCTATTCAAGACATTCTATAGCATTTGCTCATTAAAATACCTGTTAATTGCTCGGAGTGAATGTCAAAAGCGCGGCTCTTTCTAAGATGCAATCTTTGTCAACTACTTCATCATTTCCTCATTAGCTATGTTGCAGGCATTATGAATCGGGCAATAATGATGAGAAAATGCGTGCTTTGGAGGAAGAACAGATTAGTCACTGGCGCGAACAGTTCGAAGCTGACGGCATACCGCCGCTGGTGACGATTGACCCAAACGAAAGGTGAGCGTTCTGTGTTGCTTTGTCAGTTTGGTTATTCATCTTGTTTGCATCGGTTTCTATGTTAACGGTTAAGGTTGTCTAAAGTTCCCCATTTTAGCCTATACCGAGCCGTACAAGTGCTTTGTGAGTCGAAAGTACATCGACTGCCGGTGATGGACAAAAACACAGGGAATATCAGTTATATAATTACGCACAAAAGGCTTATCAAATTCCTATCCTTATATGTGAGTTAATAAGAGTTGGAGAGATAGTTTTAGGCGAGATGTGAGATGGCGAGATACTTTTGTTTATACAACCATTTGTTACAGCTTCACGATTTACCACGACCGGAGTTCATGGATAGCACACCGAAAGAGTTGGGAATCGGTTCATGGGGCGATATCGTCACCATTCATGTTGACACGCCGCTCCATGACGCCTTGGATATTTTCCTACGCAATCGGGTCTCGGCGCTGCCTCTAGTGGATGAAAAAGGACGGGTGAGATTTATTTCCCATTTTCAGTCTGATTCCGAGCCCCAGTTAGTGCAGCTGTGTGATGCTGTGGAAGGTGTCTTCGATGTTTTGTGGAAAGCGATGAAAGCCATGTCTTCGCGTTCTCCCTACCAATCACTGAGAAAGGTGATAGCGGTCGGGGTGTGTGGCGTAATGCTAGTGGCCGTTCCTTGGTGCCTGCCCTGGTGGCTGTCGATGAGTAGCATTTCCAAATCTCGATGTGAAACAGCTTCATTGAATGATGTCCAGTTATTTAAAGTGTTACTTCCGCTTAACACTTTGCAAAGACCGCTCAAGCCATTTTGTATGAATCGCAACAGTTGTAGCGTCAACACTACAGGCCTAGGAGGAGGCAAATGTGCGCTATAGGAGCGCCGACCAGCCTTGAGGAGCTATTTGAAGGACGCTACCTTTATTAGGGTAGCTGTCAAAAGCACTTTCATTCAGCAGGGTTATATGATTTGTACGTCTTTACCCTACCATCAAAACATTACTATTATAAATCCAGTTAGCTGAAAGTACAGCTTCGTATTAGAAAAATATCCTCATATAAATTAGAGGCGGCTTTCTACATGGAACATGCCCTTCTGTTGTCATCAGAAGTGTTCCGTAGCTCAGAGAATCTATTTGGAATTCGAGTTAGCGGTGCATTTCAAAATTGAGTGATGCACTAATGTTGATGTTTTTTGTTCAGGTGGTTGATATATATGCTAAATTCGATGTGATCAGTTTGGCAGCTGAGAAATCGTACAATCGATTGGATTGTACTGTACAGGAGGCATTGAAGAATCGTTCAGAGGTGAGTGAATCAGAGTGGGTCGAGTTCCAGATTTCACGTTGATGTTTGTATGTCCCTTTATTTATCTATATTTATTTATTTATTCACGTATTTGCTCATCTATTTGCTTTTACTTATTTATTCCTTACACTTGAAGGCGCGCTACAACCAAAAAAACTAGCCGGAATTTGTGCAGTCAATATAACCAAGGTTAAGTGAAATCAAATCATGTTGGAGATCTAGCAGTGATAGTTCCATTCCTCGTCCTGCGTACTGAATTGCGGTTTTCAAGATGCTAGAATTCATGTACACTTGAGCCTATTTCGTTCCTTCTAAGTTTTTTTTTCTTACCATCACTGACACTCGTGTATTTACAATATTTCTCCAAAACAACTGTCTCAATGAATGACATGTTTAGTGGTTCGAAGGCGTACAATGCTGTCGCGAGACGGATTCGCTCTTTGTTGTGGTGGAGGCCATAGTTCGAGCCGAAGTGCATCGATTAATAGTGACCGATGCAGACAAAAAGGTTTGTTCAGTTTATTTGCAAAGGCTGACGACAGTTTTTGCAGCAAGTGGAAATGAAAAGAGAGAAGTAGGACCTAAACTTTTTCTGTCACTTCTTGTATCCCTTAATCTATTTACGTATACCTTCAGAGCTCAAAACAGCTTACTAGGCATAGTGAAATATACAGGTTGGCTGAAATCTATGTTTCGGATACAAACTTCAAGGTGGGAACCCGATTAACAAGCCAGCTTCAATGAAAGATAGGATTTGAGCTATGTGAACACTGAAGACAAAAAATGCTTGAGGTTTCACGGTTTTGCTCTGACAAACGCCCTCTGACGTCCACGGCAAAATTAACAGCACGCAACAGGTAGTCGGCGACAAGATAGTTCCACGTCTTCTGAAGCGCCAACTTAGAGCATCCACCGAGCAGTCTAAGTTTTCTGAGATATTGCTCTCTTAAATGCTCACATAGTGAAGTACATCCTGTTACCGACCTGGTAGGAAGAAAGTTACATTATACTTGCCCTAATATGCGGGAAAATGCGCGTTCAGAACGGGTCTGACCGATTTTGAAGCATACTAAACGCCCTGTTTCAAAGGGTAGCAAGTGGTTATTGAGCAGAATGTGCAGGGATTTAGAAAACATACTGTACATGAACATCGTCTTTTACTAGACGTTCGAGTTGGTTTTCACATTTTCTGAAGATGAACACTAATGGAGCTTTACTCTTGAATTTAACCCCGGCCTAAGCCATCATTTTTTTTTCGGGAAAGAGTCTCCTATAAAGCTGACCTTTTCCGGAAGTTGCTCTCAGTTTTCAGAACAACTGCATCTGATTTTGACGGTCGCGAAAAAGCCAATTTGGGAATCTTCTCATCAGAACAAATCGTAAGAGAGGTGCGGCGCGCCTTCAGCTTGCGCGGAATTATTTTGCATTTAATAAGTCGATTCTATTCGGATAGCTCCAATAATACCACCTCACATAGACTCGATAGTTCCTTCAGATTAGGCTCGCTTCCCAAGATCATTTGGACGGGTTCGGCAGAACCTGAGATCGGGAGCGATCGACTCACGCTAGTTCCATTATTTCGAGTGATCCTCTTCTAGGTGTTAGCCCTATTTTTCCGGGTGTGCGCAGTTCTCGCACTTCCACTCTCCGTATTGCCAGAGATGTGCACTCGAGCATTAAGAGAAGAGATTATGTTCAGAACGGTAGAACAGGGAGGGACGAGTCGCTCTGCGCGTCGGAGACCATCCTTGGGCAGGTCTCAATAATGAGGCGATGAGAAGAAATTTTATAGCGAGAGGTCTGGTAACAACGGATCAAACAACTCCTGGAGCTTCCTATAGAGATTCCAAGTTTTGGAAGAGTTTCAAAACATTCTGGATATACCCACGGCTCAATGCCGACAAACTATGAAATCCACGTCCTATACTTTTCAGCAACTCTGTAGTTTGCTTTTTGCATTCTAAATTTGATTTTGCTTCTATTTTTCATCCAGTCCCAAGGACAGCAGAAGTGTTGTCAAGTGCGACGTGACGGATTGTTCCTGTACGGTTTGATTTTAGGTAGTTGGAATCATATCCTTATCCGATATTCTCAAATTCCTTGTATTGGATGGTGCTGAACTGAACGGTGGAATGTCAGCACAGCAATCGCCACACGTTTCTATTGATGATAGCCCACCAATAGAGGGAATTCCGGAAGGTGTAGAAGACTAGTGTCAATATCGGTCAACTATTAGCGATGGCTTGGTGAGTTTTTTATAATGCTTACTGATTTTTCCTTTTTTGTTCCAGCGGTATTGTTTGTACTGCTAAACAGTGATGCCCATCCTGAAAAGGATCTTTTTTTGTTGACACTGGTCTCGAATCTGTATTTCAAAACGGTTCTCTATCCTAAGTTCTGAAGCTTTTTGCCCATGCGTTGAGCACAGTTTCGGTCAGTGGTTATATTTAGACCACGCCAACTGTTTAACAAATGGTCCCAGTGACCTAGCGTTTAGTCGGTTACTCAAGGTCAACCTGGAAAGGAGTTGGGATCCACTCCTGCGAATCTTTCCTGCATTTTTGTTTAATCGTCATTAGGAAGCGGTTTACCATGACTTTTTTGGGTTACCAAACCGTAGTTTACTTTTTGATATGTTTGGGATCATTTCTTTCAAAATTTCTGACTTAATTTTTTTCCGCAGAGGTTTATGTTCAGACAAATTCCTAGAGAAAATGCTACTGATATCATAAGTTGCTGGCATCGTTGTCAATGACCGTCCCACTTGTTTGAAGTAGGGATAAAATATGGGTGTAGCTGAAACATGTACCTCGGAGTAATTTGATTTCTGACCACGAATATCGTACCTATTTCGGTGGAAACCCCCTTCCGCATCGACTACCGCCACAGGTGCGCTCGAACCCAGGCGCAATATTTCCTCTCTGAGAAGGAGTCTTCACACAGTTAGGTTACGAACTTTATGCAGACTAGTCGAGGTATTTTTCCCCACGGCATCATACTTCCACTGCGGGTGGCTTAGCGAATTCGCTGGTGCACCTTGCTTCGCTTTAGAGGAAGCTTTGACACGCCAGCGTCCATAGTGTTTTTACCAAGCATTCCAGCCTAGTGTTGGTTTGATATTCGTATTTGAGGAGTCAGGTTGCCCTTGAGGACACATTTTATCGAGGTTCAACAGAGAAGGGAGACTTCTCCTTTCATAGTACCGTTCAGCGAATCGCTTAGTAGATTTGCAGTACAGATTCGAGATGAGCTTCCAAAAAAGCATCTTGCTACAATGTCTCATTACATATGCAAAATTCGATCAATTATTTTTCTGTAGTAAAGTTCTGACTGATCGGCATACTAGAACCACGCGCCACGCGACGAACGCACGCGTGCTAGGCATAGCATTCTCGGACCTGCTTATTTAACACATTCACGACGACGCCCCTTTTCCACTTTTCGGTCGCGTGGGACGGACGCGATTTTGTGGGCGCCGCCGCCTCACCACATAACCGCAGATTTTGTTTTGTAAATGAACAAAAACATGAATGTCACAAAATAATTTCTGCAATGTGAAGGAATGAAGGAAGGAATTTAAAAGCGTTACACTCGATTACGAGGTTTGCCCACCTATCTGTCCATTCCTAGCGCCTGGCAAGCGATTATCAGTTGGCAGCCCATATGGGCGGCCATCGGCGTGAATGTGTTAAATAAAAAAAATGGTGCTAGCTTTATAACTGGCTCATTTCAGCCAACGACTTCACATCGTATCAGTGATAAGCTGTACATACCTGATCTTCTCAGCGATGAATCTCAGGTTCTGATTCCGTGCGTCGTCTCCTCTTCAAGCTTCCGTTGAGAACTGAGTTTGAGTGAGTTCGTGATTCGTTCACTCAGATCAGCGGAGGGAACGACGAGACATAGCGGACGATATCCATTGAAACATCATCGTAATATACATACATAAAGATACACATTGATGTGATGTACTTGTATATTTATTGCTCCCCGAGATTTTACGGTGCCGATAATGATGCGTAGTTTTTTTGAGTATGAGGAGTGTGTCGATACGTGGGTAGCTTGATGGGTTTTGTTTCTTTTCTCTTCTTCGTAATCCTCGATTTCCTTTATTTCTCAATCCAACTGTTCATTACTAATTGATAACGAATTGAATTTTGATATCCAGTCGACTGTGCCGTAGACAAATGAAAGGCCGGCCTAAAGCCTGGCGGCAGGGTGCTGTTACTTCATTGCGTGAAAATAAATTTGCGGCTTTTTATTTGACTATACTCATAACGATTACTGTCGCTGTCAGTCTCTTCCTTTTCTGGAATGGATTTCTAGCAAAGCATTGTTTCATTCATTTCAAGCCATGCCTCAAGCGTCCTTTTTTTTACCATGGCGTGTGCGCCTTCTGCCCCATTTCGACTCACTTTAGCCTGCTACGACGTTACAAGCCCCAGTATTCCGTCGCCGTAAGCACGGTTGTATCGTCCTTCTCCGACAACTGCCCTGCTTTGTTTCGAACACCTCAATGTAGCGCTGTTCTCTGTCGCTGTTCACCTAAGACCCTACTTTGTGATATATCGCTTTGGTTCTTTAGAAGCTGCTTGTAATATTATCGACACCCGTGCCCTCGTTGCTCCTCTTCTCCACTATTGGATTTCATGTAGATTTATGTATATAGGTTTGTCCATTGTTGATTGATTGTTGATCGCTCATCGCCGCGGCTTCAATTGGGTATGAGTGGTGACCGAGTTACTTTTCGTATTCGTTTGATATGTTGTTTTGAGCTTTTAATAGTGTTTTCACAATGTTTCTAGATGCATAAAGCCCTGTTTATACTTCACAGTACGCAACCGCGGCACACGCACCAATCGATACTTATGTCTTGAACGGAAGTGTGTTGTGAAGTGTAATGACAAGGCTGTAAGTGGTAATGTGGGGTTCAGGAAATGGGCTCTGTACGCTATGTATACATAAAAAACGTATTTTATTTTTCAACAATTTGGATTTTGTCACAATAATTTTAACTTTTTGTTATTAATATGTATTTTGTATTTGCTGATTAATTTGCTTCTTCCCCAATTAGGCAACTCAACGTTGTCATACGGATTTCGCTTGACGGGGTCATGATAATTACGTGCAACTCAGAACAATACCCGTTTCTTTTTCTTCTTCGTCGTCGTTGTCATTTTCATACTATTTTTGCTCTCTGGCGTAATTAGTGTAGTTGAGTATAGTTTTGATCACAGTTGGCAAAATAAGGGTTTCGTGTTCAGAGAGATTTGCTCTTTCACTACCCATCGCCACCTCTATTTTGCGATTACTTTTCTCCGTTAGTTGTGAGATCTGTGTTCATTCGTTTACAAGCTGTTTTCATTTTCTTTTTCTAATTAATAAACATTCGGCATCTATTCGAATGGGTTGGAGGCATTTAGGTGTGTATTTAACGCGTCAATTCGATATATGATAGCCAGAGCACGAAGGCAAGTTGACACGATCAGAAATTCACAGGTTCATTAGGCTACCTACCTCGACATGAATAGATTAACTATGAGAAAACGCGAATTATGCGGAGTTGCTTCGGGTCGAAAACACTTTCTATGTTAGCATAATAGGAATAGAATTCACATGTGGGTAAAGTGGCCTACTAGTTAAAGGCAAGAATCAGGATTAAATTGATGGGTGATTCCACTCAAATGTGAAAGTAGGGATGGGAGGTGGACCGCCAGTGGAGAAAAAAGGAAAAAAATCCTGAAATACACAGGAAATACGAGCATTTTGCTCTATGCTGTGGAGAAGTTCAAAAGACAGGCAGGGAGATGAGAGATAATGTGAGCGCGGAGAGTGGTAGAGAAGTCCGAGAAGAGAGAGCATAGCAGATCAACGTGGCGACGCAGACAAGATATCGAACGGTGGGCGGACCATGTTAAGTTTGGTGGAGTCTGTTAGAAGTCCATGGCGCCTAGGGTCCTAGTGACGCGTTTCGATGTAGAAAGGTGGCGCTACCTTTGCACTTGCGTACCCAGCACTTCTAGCCATGGTAAGGGCTTCTTAGGTGGGTCTGAGCCCGAACTTTGCCTTTAGGAAAACTCATCAGAAATCACCGAAGACGGTAAGGGCATCGTTTTTGCAGTTGTCTTTGGCTATTGTGTGAGATTACGGTGTAGAGACACTGTACGCCAGGATGAGGGAACCGATATCGATGGGACAAGAGAGGGGGCTGATAAGGCGAAAACACCAATGGTCGCCAACCACATCGTTCTAAAGATGACCTCGATTCTATTGACGTTTCCAGTCGTACGTTGAAACACTATGGCGCCGTCGATTCCACGAAACGGTAGAACTTCCTGCGGACCAGCCCTCCATGCTCACGAAAGAATTGTTCCACTTGGCTGGTCGTGGACGTGTTCCCGATAAGGCATATTTCTATAGCTGCGGTGGTATTAGGTACCGGATATCTTAGTGTCGCTTTTCTGAGTTCAGGAAGTTTTGGGGCCGATTACTATGGAAAATCAATATCTCAGAAAGTCCTTTTTGCTCATTAATACTGCGAAATATGTTGCTTATTGTTTTCTATTGTTGGTTCACAATTTAACTTTCCCCCAATTTTTATACTTTTTTTTGAAAATTCCTGGGTCCAGTGTGCAAATTCGCATGTGTGTACCAAATGCTTCAAAATTCTTGCTGAGAGCTACAACTTCCGCCCACCAAACCAACATTGCATTTGTTGGAGGGAATACTACCATTTAAAATGCTCATCGGTTTTTCACAGTTTTCTCAAAAGACAGTGAAGTCTTTGAAGTGATGCCCGCAATCGTCGTCAAAAAGGTGGCCCTAGTTAAATCAGTCGAGACGGGGCTGCACCAGTCTTGTGCTGAAATGGTAGGACACCTTAGCAGTGACTGATCGATGATGCACAAACGCTTTAACGAAGTTGATTGCACAAGAAATTCTAATAAATGTGCTCATCTGCTACTCACGTGTGCTCAAAAAGGGTGCGTTTTTGACCCTATGTGGCAAAAAAGACTCCGGGAAAAATTGTCCAGTTGAGCTGGTAAGTTTAACTTTTCCACCATACAGTGCAGACCCTACTCTAACTAACTGTACTTCTTTTGTCCAGGCCTAACTTTTTAGCAAGTGAGAGGGATGATTTGTCAGATGATGTCAAAACCGACCTACCTCTCTTTTTCGACTCAAAAAATTCCTAGCTTTAATCGTACGAGGTTTCCACTCATACTGGTAAATGGGAAAGTGCTAATGAGTCATTCGATGAATATGCTGTTTCACTCCCCGGATTCTGAATTAAAATATTGGTGGTCCGAAACTCGTGGTGAAAAAACGACACTAACTAAGATATCCGGTACCTAATACTATACTAAACCGACCAGGGATGACCTCATTGGCTGCCTATGATCGCAATAGCTAATGAACCTGCTCTATAAAAACGCAGATATCTATGCATTCTCATACCCACTTGGTTTGTTTCAGCCCTTTTACGATGTCTCACATGTCGGCCAATATCATCACAATGACGCAATGTTAGGGAAAAACGTTCCGCTCCGATTGGAACTGGAACACAGTTCTTGGTTTTCAGACTGTTGTGCAACACATTAACCATAAGAGGCACCGTTAAGAAGTGGTTGACTTTGATAGGCGGGTCGCAGAAGCAGCACCTTACCTCAACAGCTTCCTCCGAATAATAAATGTGCAGCTGTGGATCTTGCTCCTGAACAAACAGTCTGCCATCTCTCAGCCTCGCCAATTCGTCGAATTCGGGAATGTTGCTTAGCGTTACTTTGTTGTCCTTCAACGTACTGATCGTCCTGACATTTCCTATTTGTCAAGCCACTGGAGCTGCATTTCTGCCGCAGTTTACCTCGATATCGCTTGCCTCTTCATTCCGAATCCCCATCCATATAGCGCGCTAACGACGTTGTCTGCAACAGGAATACATGCGTTCTCGTAATACATTGTTATCTGTCTGCTGTTTTGATTCCTGATAGTCATACCTTCGTGGTCCTGATCTGCCTTCATTAGCATCTCCTCATAGACTTGCCGCGCAGCTCGTCCTACGTAGACCGGATCTCCTTTTACTTCTTGCACCTTCCGAAAGTTGAGGAAAAATATACTGATTGATTAGTGGATAGTTATCGATGCTATATCGTATCCAATTTTTCTCGCTTTGTCTTCTCCTGCTCCAGCTGGCGTACACACGTGTCGGATCTCGCATGGGTTACAAACAAGGTCGTCTCAAGTAGCCTTAAAATGGAAGCGTTACATTTATTTCCTCCATCCTGCACTGTGTGCAGGACGGGTGTAGGATGTGTGCAGCTGTTTTCACTTATTACATCTGACCTTGATCGTTCTCCAAACATCCGTCGTGAAACATCTCTTCTTGCCATTTTACTTACCTCTCTTCGTCCTTTGTATGGCAACGATCTTGCATGCGAAGCAGGGACGGAAGGACTTGCCTGCGCAGCTTGATTGCTGAAATTAACATTAAAGGAATCTTGCGCGGAAAATTCTTGCACTCTTTCCTAACATGAATATGTCAGTTGTGATCACTGGAAATAGCACACAAAGTTTCACGCATGAAGATTCGGTTTCTGAAGAGAAACAAACGTACAAAAACTACACGTTATGGACCATCGAAGGCGAGGCATGGAAAGAAGACGGCGTTTGGCCGGCTACGTACCAGGCGACGCAATGAGAGAATCGGGTTAAAGCGCGCGATTTCGGAGAGTGGAGACAAATCGATGGAATAGGATGGAGTAGAAGTGTAAGATGTGAATGCAACGAAGCAGAAGGCCAGAAAGAGCTTCTAGTGAATGCACTCCAAGAACCAAGTTTGAGCATCCCCGTCGCCAGCATTCGTGAAAGACGTCCGTGGGCAATTCGAACGCGTAGCAGCCTTTTCGAGTTTTCGAATTTCTAATCAAAACGAAAGCAATACTTCAGTTCTTTTCACTATTATCGTGGATAATGAGTCTCAAGCCAGTGATTTATGGCTGAAATAGAATCATGATTTTTCCGCGCAAGATTCCTTTAACGGCTGGTGAAGCCGGTAGACTCTGAAAATAGAGGCCCTAGTGGGGGCCGTAAAATGGTATGAAAAAAATGTTAAATGGATGTTAATAATACCTGTGATATATGTATATATAAATTATTTATACAGCACCAATTAGCATTCCACGACCCGGTTTTACTCTTTACATACTTTTGTGTTAGAACGTCGTCCTTTGGGCATATCAAGTGAGGAATGACAACTTCGTACCTTCAGCAACCCCCCCCCCTCCTCAAAGCAGTAATTAGTGAGGAATGTCATGATGCGGCAACGTTATGCCGTCAATATCTACTCATAAAGCAAGGTCAAACTCGTGAATATGAAAGGGGATCCGAAAAATTATGAACTCATCTGCCGTAGAAACAGCGCACGGTGAATAAGGTGCCGAAACGGAAGTTCTCCTGAGTTCACCATTCATGTAAGCCCTTACCCCAGTGGACCGTCCTTTTCCTCTCAACTGCAAAATACTTCTGTCATTTTTTTTTCTGTTTCAACCGGGATTATCTGCGAAACTGAATCAAAGTTGTTAAAAATGACAAAAAGGACATCACCATTTGTTTATGTTTTCATTTCTTGCTTCATAGGTTGTGCCAATCCACCGCTACGATTTGTGTTATAAACCTGTGCTTATTGAACCTAGGCGCGATGATATTTATCTAATACCTATGTTAAGCAACTTCCCATGAACAATAGGAGTTTGCATTGGTAGGAAACCTACTCGTTTGGGTCTCTACAAAACGACGCTGTTAGCAAACTGAGAAGGAAACTGTTCCAGATTCCACAGTGGTCATAAAATTGTGCTCCTTCAGGAAGCGCTATAGCACAAAAGGCAAGAAATTTTCATGCGCATAAAACTCACCGCTCTTTCAGATACTGCAAGTGCAAGGAGGCATTATTAAAAATACTACAAGTGAATTGCAAACAGAGGGAATACTTGTTAATTTTTTAGACAAGAAAAACTCCATTCTTTAAACATCTTCACAATAACCATTGTTTAAAGAATATAATAGCTCAACAGTAATACAACATCGAATAATGTCGAGAGAATATTCATCCCAACTTCATTTGTGAAAATCCCGATTCCTTCTGCTTGATATTCACTAGTATAATCATATTATAATTATTATTATTATATTATAATATTATAATAATAATAATTATAATATGATTATAAATTATTATTATAAACATTATTATAAATTGTTTTAATTATTATAAACACCAGCAGCAGACTGGTTATAATCATATTCACTATTATAATCAGTCTGCTGCTGGTGTTCCACACATTTCTAGAGTCACCCGAACAGCGGTAAGTTATAAACATACCAGTTTTGCTCCG